AACTGTAACACGTTTGAGTTTGTTACATGATCCATTATGTCGGCATGATTTAGCGAATTGCTCTGATCTACAAAAAACGACGTAGGCTAACTTAAACTTGTAAAACGTAATAAATTTGTAAAACGTTTTGCACTGCATTGTGTATAAAAGCACCGTTGCTGTAGAAATACTGCTTGACATTCATAATAAATTTCAAATTCGCCAGTCTCATATGCCTAAGACAATAAAGTTTTTATCATATCCTATTTTAATATAACAAACAAAAAATAAAGGTGTTGGTCGGTTTTGTCCAAAGCTAAAATTTGTTATTGGATTGTTGACAAACTGCACGGATTATAATTATTTAGCACTAGAGAATAATTTATGCATGATTTATTGATTTAATTGACGCGTAATATTCATTGAGACACAAAGGATTTTAGCCTTTAAGTGCAGCTTACAGTTACCGCATGCTAACCTGAGCGAAAGCTTAATCATTGTATTGCTTTGATTATATCTGCTAACCTGAAGTAAAATTAATGTAGATCGTGAGGACCTGGCAAAGAAGTGAGTTTATGTATTTACTTTTGGTATACTATTAAACAGAGCACATATGTTATTCATACTCTATCATTATTTACTAGATCGAATAAAAATTATTTACATATAATCTATACGATTCCGACTCACGTATCTATCGGACTGCTAACCTGAGGATCCAGTTATAGATTGTCCAAAATTATTATCGCTTCTTAGTATGTCAATAATAACTCATACTCTGACATGTTTGCGCCACCCCTAAAAATCAATCCACACCCCCTGAAAATGAAAATTACTTTGAAACATTAGCAAAACATGCAAAACAATCAAATGTTAGCTATATTAAAATTGTATTAAGGTTTGGGCTCTTCACCCATACAAAGGCTAATAACCGGACCTCCATGCACATCCCTCCAAACTTCTCACACAGCTGGCCTTGATTAAAGATATGTAATAAAATTAAATTATTTGTTCCATGCAAACTTCATTTGTGTTTTAAAATGTTACAAATGATCCTTGCAATTGTTTATGTAACAACGAAATTTCAATTTAGAATTTTCAAATCCAGTTGCCATAAAAAATAAACAGAATTATAGTGTATTATTTTACGTTTGTCACAACAGACCTTCATGAACTCCTGACTGTTCATACCCTTGAAAACTATTTTTCAAATCGAGGGAGGGTGTTTCTTCCAGAAAGGAATCTGGAACATCATCACTATTAATGCATTTAAAATATCAGGCATCTCACTAACATTGCTGTTTATTTGGAATGCATCATCTCGAACTACATGTATTGATGAAGGTGTTTGTTTGCTCTCACTCCCAGCATATATAAATGTCTATACTTCCTTATCATCTAGGTCATTAGCAACTATAACATTAAAGTTTTACATTAACATATTTGTCAGAAATGCCCATAACTTTGTTATAAGAAAGCAAAAATCACATCTCAGCTGCTCACTCACATTAAAATCACTACCTCTGAACATTTTGCTTCAGCAACTTGTGCACACATTTATTGTTGCACTCTGAACAACTGATATAATGAGTTCTGTACATAATGTTAAATATTATGTACAGAACATTCATAGCTAAATTTCTACTATCAAACATAGGTGCAATGCTTACATTCGTAGTCATTTAATCTGCATAAATATAAGTTGACACTTGAGTATGCTCTTCCTATGGATTCTTTGTACTTTTCCATTGAAAATGGACTTTCTATACCAGGGAGATAAAGCACCTGATCAAAATCTGGATACAAAAGAATCCAACCACAATAACTAATTTCTCTCAGATGTTTGTTGTGTGCCAATTGTTTTGCAATTTCCTTGTCTTTAACAGCAAGATGAGAATAATTTTTTCGCACTTCTTCAACTAGAAGAAGAGAACTTCTTCTAATTTTCAATTTTCTACCGTCACCATCAACCTCTGCAACTCCTACATTGATCTGTAAAAAAATAAAAATTAATAAATAAGAAATGGACAGATTTAGGGTTTGATAGTACAACTAAAACTGTGTAAGTAGACATTTGACATGATGACATTTATCTGATGTATGGCACTCACTTTTACAAGTTCATCTTTGTCCATTTTCTTTTTTGACATGTGAAATACACGTTCATTTTTTTTCGTTTTTGAATGGAGTTAATCTCTTCTTCTTGAGCCTGATTTTTTTGTCTTCTTTCCATAAACTTACAGAAGCTTAGAGGCTCCTTAGTGCTAGTAGAACCATGCTATAAGATGAACTGTGAGATAAACTTTCAAAATCGTCGGCAGTGGAGGAGTTTCTTTCTCTGCATTTTTCAGTCATTTCTGCTACGCAGTTTCCACAAAAATTGGCTTGTTTATGGTTAATGACTGTGCCACATGTCACTCAAAACATCTAAAAATTTGTCTATTGACAACTATGTTTTAGCGAATAAAATCAAACAAAACCCTCTCGGATCTCGTTCAAAGCAAAATTTGATTAAATTTCACAAGTCTGAAGACAAAATATTAAGAATTTGATGAATATGCATCATGAATCGTGATGGTGAGGTTCTTGACCACAGAATAAGAATATACAGAAGAGTCACTCGTGTCGGAACATTTGATGTTTTTGTCCTCGCGCATGACTTACTGCGCATGGTGGCCGCCATTATTCCAGCCAGAGGATTAGGGTTTTTGACTTTTTCCCAACCTTTAAAATGATCCGAAGTCATTTTTTAAGTCAAAATATACTTGAATTCTGTATAATCATTATCCTGTGTTCTTGACCATTCGTGAGCACTGTCAGTGACCACTGACGTGTATACTAATTTCCTGGACTGGAAATCCACATCCAAATTATTATATTTTATCAACGCGCGGCAGGGTATCAAAAACATGGAAGCCCTCATACTAAATATGGCTAATTTTGGGAGAAAACGTCATCAGAATGAAAAAAAATAATTTTTCAGCCCACCCGGATTTTCACCCAACACTTAATAAAGATAAAGATTCGATAAAGATAATTGTTCACAAGACTGTTCACGATTGTACAAGACTGTTCACGACTGTGCAAGACTGTTCACGACTGTGCAAGACTGTTCACGACTGTGCAAGACTGTTCACGACTGTGCAAGACTGTTCACGACTGTGCAAGACTGTTCACGACTGTGCGAGTGTTTATTTCCATGTACATTTGAAGATATTCGCGGTCCCACAAAAAAATGCCGCGTTTAGAGTTATTTTGAATTTAAATTGTTATTTAAATATAACAGAAGTTTCTTCACCGTAGATTTTTTTAATTCTTGATTGTGTATTCGATAAAACGCTAAAGCATATCTTTCAATCTAAAACGTTATTCGTAGTTGTTTTCACTGATTTTCAGGTGGACTAAATGATAAAAATAAATTTTCAAGTGGAAGATTTTACCCCAAAATTTCCTTCTGGCATCCATGTTTTTGACACCCGGCTCCAAACCCCTTTTCTCTTTGAACTCAATGTCAGTGACTGGTGTTCTTCCATGTGTGTTTGAATACTTCCATCTTCCATTTGTGTTCGTGTACTTCTGTTTGTGTTCGTGTACTTTTATTTGTGTTCGTGTAACTTCGTGTATTGTACTTGTGGGCCACCGCAGTTCACATTAGCCTTCTGTTCATACGGACTCGAATCGATTTTGAATCGATTTAAAAAGTTAGTGTGAATGGGCCCTATGAAATAAAAGATTTTTACTATGTTTGCACAGGCTTATGCAAACCAAGGAGACCTTTGCGACAACTTAAGCGCAGATCAGTGCAAATTTATTTTATAAAATAAAAATAATGCCAAACAGACAAATTCAAAACAAACGCTGTAATATTTCCTCTAATATGTATTCATGATTAATTTACAAATTCTCTTTGATATACTGATAGCGATTGATTTGATTTGATTTGATTGCTTGAGCTGAAATCACTTTGCCCAAATGGACGAAAACACAGTTATAGACCAATCACAGCACGCATTTAATTGTTTGTATTTTAAAAATGGGCATATGTGTGTCTTTGCAATAAAGAAATTTGTTCTTTAGTCTTAAAGGTCAGTTTTTTTGATACCCTGTACTTCGTCAATACTCCAATGATCTGTGAGAATCGTAATTTGATTTTGGCAGAACATAGCAAAACCACATATCAAACATCAGTTATCATAAAAGAAACACAATGAAACGCGTGCACCGATTGGTCTATAGCTGAGTTTGAATTAGCCTGTGCAAAACGATCAGAGCTCAACCAGTCAAATCAATCCATCCATCAAAGAGAATTTGCAAATCAATAATGAATACACGTTAAAAGAATACTAAAACGCTTATATTAAATATGCGTTTTCCGCATTATTTTTAGTTTATAAAAGAAATAAATGATGTTTTCCGTGTTGGCACAGGCTTATGCAAAGCTCGGAGATGTTTGTGAGAACTCTCGAGCAGGTACAACTCACGACCTTCGGTCTCGGGCTTGCACTGATCTGCTCTTGAGTTCTCCCAAAGATCTCCTCGGTTTGCACATGCCTGTGAAAACAAATTGAATATTTTTTGTTTCTTAAGTGGTGTTCTATCAAATGTTCTATCGTAGCAGGCCTTAATATGATGGAGCATCACTTGATGATACAATGGCATGGCCAGAAATAGCATAGCAAGCACGCATATTTAATCCTGCTACGTAATTTATTCTGCGCTCAAAGTACATTTCTAAAAAAAGAAGTGAATAATTATGATGTTAGGAAATTTACAAAGCAGGACTGAGCTTACGATTAACGTACAGCCACGGTGAAACCTGTATTTAGGAGCGAATTTTCCTTTTAAAAGGTGGCATTGTCCACAAAATTTCATAATATGAATAATATAAGTGACCTTTATTGACCTTTTTCGTCAACATTTGCAAGGCCCAAAGTTCCAAGTTAATTATTTTTAAACGACTGAGAGCGGTTGGGAATAGCATCAAAAAAATACCGGCAGCATATAAAACAAACTTCTCAAAGTCTTTATGTTTGTGCAGTACGCAACAACAAAAAAAATCATAACTATTTTTCGATTTAAGGTCTAATATTTACATGCATACAGTATAGTAATTACAAGATTAAACTTAGAAAACATGGTTTGAGATTGGCTATTTGTTGTGCGAATTGAAACATATTGCGGTTTATTGCAAATTTAATTATGTTAAATGTAACATTTAAGTTATTTAACTTGTTTATTGATTTTCCTGTGCCAAGTGGTCAACCTGTTGGCATTACATGCGAGAATCCCTAAGGATGACCAATTACTACAAAGCAATGATGTACTTGTCATGAATACCAGTAGAACCGATGCCAATACCAATACTACGATGCACTTGTCATGAAGGAATCAAGAAGGCAAAAGGTGCAAATTGCAAAGTGTTTTTGTTATGAGAAGTCGAGTTGTTAATTGTTACTTGTTTACCCCAGACCTTATGTCTGCACAGGCGCACTATTATTATATTTTTTTGAGACTCTTGATCAGTTCTCCAGTTTCGTTTGATGACGTAAATGTGCTTGTGTGAATTCTCTGCCAGGCTTCACGCCGACAACTGAAGGTTTCCAAGAACACTGCTTTGCATTGATTTCGAAATTTTCGACTTTGAAACGCGTAAAGAAACGGATTCAAACAGGACGAAGAAAATCCAAGAATAATTCCAAGCTGATAGTAGTTGGAGCTCCACGTAACCTTGGAAACATTGGCGAATTGAAACAAAAAGTACATGATGTTGTTCGGAGTCCAAAGAATTAAAAATGACACGAGAACCAATAGAACAACCCGTATTGTTTTTTCTTTGCTTTGCATAATTTTGACGCGCTGTCTCTCGTTGACCAGAGCGAATTTAAGCGTACCATTCAAACAAATCATTCGCTTACGGATCCTGTAGAAGTTTATAAAAAATATAATCGCTGGAGCCAAGTATTCACTCACGAATAAACATGAAAATATGAACGCGTTAACCTCGTAACTCGGCCAATAATAGCAACTTGCTCCGACTGTGGCGTTAGTTGCTGTGTAGCGAATCCCTACTAAAACGGGAAGCTCCCTCAATAGGGCAAAGAACCAAGCTAAAGCAATGTGTATGATAGTTTTCCTTGATGTGGTGACGCGTATTTGAAAAGGTTTTGCTATTGCATTAAGCCTCTCGAAACTGATTATTACAAGAATGTAAATAGACACTCCAGCGAGCCAGAATTGAGGTAAATTTCCTGTGACCAGTTTACAGAAAACGTCGCCATTTACGCCAGTAGGATGTGGGAAAGCGCTAGTACTCATTACGTACACTGGCAGGCAAATAACACTCAACGCTAAATCAACTATAGCCAAATTCATCAAGTATACATTAAATGGTACATGGCGGAAGCGATGTTTTGGTGACATACCGCTCTTTCTTATTACATAAATGACAATGGAGTTTCCCAGCAGGCCAAAGAGACATATCAAACAATAACAGACAAGCTCCCATATTTGCAAATCAAATTTTGTCATTTCGTCTTAAATTTCACAAATTCAAATTCTTATATTACAAGTAGATGGATCAATTTCGAATTCTATTTTACAAACTTCCGTCAACGTCAGCTTTTAACTACAGCATTTTATCAGCTCAGCATAGACCTGGAGGACTGGACCTAGTCACTTAGGCCTAGGGGAACATATTAGCGGAGCGCATGTAGACTATGGAGAGTGCAACACCCCAAGCTTCTGTGAAATATACGTAAAAAGTGTTTGAAGAAACTGACAAAAGACGAAAAATTGATCCGGCTAAAATTGTGGACTTTCAATACAAATACAACAAAGTCAGTCTAAGAACTTAGCACACTCTCAGTATTTTGGTTTCGAAGTGAGGTCATCCGGACATTATAGTTGCAGGGACCAGGGCGATCAGTGTTATTGTACATCAACATCTACCTACTCTGATTATAGATGTAAGGCGTGTTTTGTTGCTTTCATATTTAACATATGAACTCAAATATTTCTTTCATCTTTCTCTCTAACGCACTCATATAACTTCAGGCCCTCAGTATTTTGGAGGGTCTGAAGCACCTCTACCAGCACTCACAACATATGCGCTGCTGCTTGTCACGTCGTTGAATTTATTTGCAGCTTAAATATATTGAAAGAGATCTTATTTATTCTGGTGGTGCCAGAAACATAGAATTTTCATTATTTAATACAGAGATATTTTACATCAAATGACCATCGTTAAAAAATTACATTAAAAAAAATGGGGGGTGGGTGGGTTGAATATGTCATTCAACATTTAAAAAAACGAAACTAAAATATGTGAAATTTTTCTAACAATTTGAGAAAATATTTAGGGGGAGGAGGGAGGGGTGAAGCCGGCCTAGTCTCCCTCTTTCGAATGATCTGTTTCAGATTACAACATTTTCCCTCCTTGGCCCAACTTCGAAGTCCACGTCCGAATTTATCTCAGTTTCAAATGACGTCACAAACTCTTGAAATCGCCTCTTGTTTGCCTTTTTCTCGATGACCTTAAAATTCATTCTTCGTTTATCAGTCTGTTTCCGTCGATCTTTGTCAAAATGTATAAATTGTCGAAAAACATTGGCGCAATTCTTCCTAAATTCCTTACTTTGAAAAGCATATATGATTGGATTCATACTTGACGAGGAAAATCCTAAAATTATACCCATTTGGTATACGTCCGAACTCCATACGACATCCGAATTCTTTCCAATTTGAAGTAAAAAGTACATAATGTTATTCGGTGTCCAAAACAGCAAAAATACTAACAATACTATCAAAACGATACGAATCGATCGTTTTTTCCCTTTCACCGTTTTTATTCGCTCTCGTTCATCTTGAATACCAAGCTTGAGTGTTTTGTCCAATCGACGTATGTGTTTTGTCGTACGGGAGAAATTCACAAGAAAAACAATCGACGGGAAGACGTATTGCGTGAGGAAAAGAATCGAAAATACAAAAATATTTGTCGTTTTGCTTGGCCAGTAGTAGCAGCTAGTTCCAATGGTTGCGTTGATTGCCGTGTAACGAATCCCAACAAGAACAGGTATCTCCCTCAAGAAGCCAAAAAACCACGCTATTCCAATATACACGTAGGTCTTCCATGTCGCTACGCGCATGCGCGATTGGAAAGGTCTAGTGATACTATAATGCCTCTCGAAACTAATTATCACAAGAATGTAAATAGACACTCCAGCAAGCCAGAACTGAGGTAAATTTCCTGTCACCAGTTTACACAAAACGTCGCCATTTACGCCTGTAGGATGTGGGAACGAACTAGTACCCATTATATAAACTGGCAGACAAATAGCACACAACGCTAAATCAACTATAGCCAAATTCATCAAGTATACATTAAATGGTACATGGCGGAAGCGATGCTTAGGTAGCCGACGGCTCTTTCTTATTACCAAAATGACAATGAAGTTCCCGACCACACCAAAAATAAATATAAAAGTGTAGCAAACGAGCTCCCATGCTCGTAAATCAAAGCCTGTCATTTTCTCCAGATGAAAAATAAGGTCAAACAATACGCACTTGAAATTCGATCAGTTCCTGTCTGTAAACACCAGGTGTCTGCCAATAAAGTATAATTAACGTATTATGCAATATATTATAAGTTAAAAGCGATAAGTTATAATCACAAGATTAAATAGTTGGAATGTTATTAAACAAAAAGAATGATATGTTGTTAGATAAGGTCGTTATTGTTTGTAGTTGTTGGTTATATCATTCTTTTGATCGCATAATGCTATAATGAACGATGTATACACTAAAATTCAAAATCAGAGATCTACCCGGAGACGCTATCGATTGCCAGTTAATCGATTTGAAACAAGTCAACATGCATAAATTTTACGTAGCAATCATTGCGCAACACACTGACACAATGAATATAGACTACACTGTTAATATACCTTGATAACAGAACCCTTTTCTTGCTTACTAAATTGTTCGGTCCAGCATTGTAGAGACGTTTGTATTGAGCTGTGTTAAATGATGACTTTCATATGCTATCAAAACTTTAAATCAAATACGCGAGCAGTCGCTGCAGTTTCAATTTCACATCAGCATCTATGAAATCCTGAATGGAAACGTGTTAGTGCTATAATACGTACTGGCGATGTACTCTTTGATTTCCTTGGAATTCTCTGAGCACGATCAAAGACTAATTAAGCAAAAAGGAAATAGGCATTAGAAAGGGGGTGCTCTTGATGTCGTATATTGTCTTTACTTAAATATATATGCATTATTTTGATGTAAATTTTATCAACAGGACGTACTTAAGTCACGTGTTTGTAGGTAAAAATCAAATGTTATGCCACTACACTCTGTCAAAAAGGTCAAGATAATTGTATTTCGCATTTAGCTTATAATAATACTTTGATTTTTTATACCGCAAATGATATTATAGTTGATATTAGAGCTCATTTGATATTAGAGTTCATTCGTGCGCATTGCATTTGAATTACGCTTTCCAGAGGGTCAGTTTTGCGTTTTCACTTTCAATCTCTGAGAGTAAAACGGAGCACAAAATTTCGAAATAAAATTTCATTTTTTGAACTTCTTAAGGTCATTAGAATTGCCATCAGTCCACCAGTAAGTACTGCAGAGCTGCGAAAGGTCGTTTGCCAAGTTGAAACTGAGAAAGAATTATCACAGAACGACCATGACAAATTCAAGACTTAAACATTTGTCAGTTATCAGAATTCTCAGGAAACGAGCAATGATGAACACTGACTTAGAACTAGTTGTTGACAGGTTTATTCAAAAATTTCCAAATAGGTGCATTGTTTTAAAGTTCCATTTCAAACCGTTAGTAGAAAACTTTGAGATTGTATGTTTGATGTTAAACCACATGTAGGATCGAGATGCATAGAGCTTAGGTTATGCTAATTATTATGCTAATTATTATGAAAAACAAAAGGGACCCGTATAAAAGCATGGTTTTTGGGGTCTTTTGAGATTGAGCACGATTCATGTATAGTGGTGTATTTTTTGTACATGGATGTTTATATTTAGTGGCCAAATTACGAGGTAACGATGATTACGGCTTTAGGCCTCCTTGTCGGTTATGTTAATATCTATACTCTGTCGTTTAGAACCGTACGTTTGACGCATTGCATTGAAATAAAGACTTATCTGTATACCGGTCGTCGTTTTAATAGTAGTTTATGTACGAGTATCTTGCTGGTCACATAAGCCTGGAATTGTTGAAGCTTATATAGTTCTCGTAATTGTTGTTTAATCGATCAGCAATGACTCAGAAACGAAAGGGTCAAGGTAAAAAGTCGAAAATTAAAGGCTTATCAAAACGCGTACTTCAGCCGTCTGGCGAACAGTTAAGTCCTCCAGGTCAAGTGAGTCGAGCTAAATCTGGAGAGAATTCGCTTAACAATACGAATCAAGACATGATTGAATCCGCTGAAGATGACGGTAGCGAGCGAGCTGAAAGCGGACCGAACGTCGTCGTACAAAACAAGCAAGTTGTCGTTTCTGACGAGGCTTCGACGAGTTTGGGTTCGCCGGAGCGAGTAGCAGACGAACAGGAACAGGAGCTTGAACTTGGTCTAAGTCAGGTCGCTTCATTTTTGAAGGATAATTCGGTTTTATCGCCTCTTGCTCCTGTATTCCAGTCCAATTCTAATATCGGTAAACAAGCAGCTTCTCACGTGAACGTCACGCGGACTGCTCGTGCGTGGGAAAAGCCGACGCAAACAACAAATTTTGAAGACAACGGGGCTGGAGTAACGAGCGCGCTTGATTCAAAATGGGCAGAACGGTTTCGTGAACTTGAAGAATTGGAAATTAATAGAAGAGAAGAGCTGAACAAGCAGATGAGGGAGGCAAGGCTTAAACTAGAGAAAGAAATGCATCAGGCGAGAATTGAGCATGAGATGGCTATGAAGAAACGGGAAATACAACGACGTCGAGATGAGCTTCGGAAGCTTGAAGAAGAAGTTTTTGGTAATGATATTGAACATCAACTGTCGGACAGGGAAAGTAGTAACGCTCGTGAACCAGATAAAAACCCAGTCCAGCAACCTTCAACTCCAATCGACAGAAGCAGTTTAAGTCAGCGCTTGGCGATACCTCCTACCGGAAATTGTGTACCCCAAGAAAGTATAATAACCAGTGGAACTGGATGTCAAACTCAGCAAAGCTTGCAACGAGACAATTCGTCGCAGTTACAATATCTATTAGAGAAGCAGCAGATTACGATGGACGAAGTAGTGAAGGGATTAAGAATGCCTCAAAGGGAATACATGAGTTTTGATGGCGAACCTCGCAACTTTCCGTTGTTCATGAAGAATTTTGAAGTGAATGTCGAGAGTAAAGAAAGTAATGATGCAGATCGACTGAATTACCTTATTCAGTATTGTAAAGGAACAGCAAGACAAGCGATAGAGCATTGCATCATTATGCCTCCGGATCAAGGATACAAGCGTGCTAAGGAAATCCTGAGAAAAAACTTTGGTCGAAATCACATCGTAACCCAAGCATTCCTTGAGAAAGTCTTGAATGGACCGCCAATTAGAGTAAACGAAGCCGAGAAATTGTCGCAGCTAGCAAGAGATATGGAAACGTGTCTCCTTGGTTCTATTCAGTTAGGAAATCGGGCAAGTATCAATTCGATGGACACTCTGGGAAGGGTAGTTAGCCGCCTTCCAATGCATCTCAAGTCAAAATGGGCTGATAAAGCAAGCCATATGTACGACAATCACATCACACCAGATTTCTCTCATTTAACTGAATTCATACAATCCCGCGCAGCCGTGGCTAGTACGTACTTTGGTCAAATGATTACCTCGAAAAATGAAACCCGAAAGGATGGAACTGACAGATTGAAGAAGAAATCCTTCTTGTTTAGTGGGAATAGCACAAACTTAGCAACTCACAGCCAGAGAATATTTGACAGTAGTGAATCAAAGGGAAGAAATTTATCCTGCGTACTATGCAAAGGCACACACCATCTTGAACGCTGTCACAAGTTCAGGGCTCAAAATCTTCAGCAACGACAAGACCTAGTAAAGACGCACAAAGTTTGTCATGCTTGCTTGAGCCCAGGACATTTCGTGAAAGACTGCAGAGGTGCCCGCATATGCGGTGTTGAAGGTTGTCAGAGAAGGCACCATCCTTTGTTACACTCATCCGAAATAAAGGCTAAGGATTCTAAATCAAGTGAAAGGAGTAATTCAAATCCTGAACCATCTGAAAGCGACAGCCAATCCAAAGCACTCCCAACGTCTGGAGTTGGCGCGACAAATTCATCATATAGCAGTTGTCGTATAGGTTTGCAAGTTATTCCAGTTAAGGTCAGCGCACCCTATGGTAGTCGTGTGATAGAAACTTATGCGTTCTTAGACAGTGGCTCCAACACAACCATGTGCTTAACCAGTTTAGCTGAAGATCTTGGAGCCGATTGCTCACCCATCGAATTCACGTTAGCGACTGTTTCAGGCAGCCACAAAAGTAAGGGTCAACAGTTATCTCTCGATGTGGTTGGAGTATCCACGGGCAAAGGTGTCAGACTAGATAAAGTTTGGACGACCAACACTCTTCCTGTTGCTCTAGAAAGTATTCCCACGAACACTGATGTAAAAGGGTGGTCTCACCTTAAAGGCGTTAATCTAACCGATTTAGTGGATAAGAAAGTCACTATCCTTATTGGAAGTGACGTTCCCGAAGCTCTTTGCCCCCTTGAAGTGCGTTCTGGGAAAAGAAATCAACCCTACGCAATACGGACAATCCTCGGTTGGACGGTGATGGGACCTCTGAAGGGAAAACCTTATCAAGAAGCTCAGATGAACTTCATTCATGTTGATCAAGCTCTTGGGTGTATGGAAAGGGAAGATGGTATGAGTTCCATTCGTCAGCAATTGCAAAATCTCTACAATTCAGAGTTTAGCGAGTCGGCTGCTGACGTTAAAGAATGTCTGTCGGTCGAGGATCGTCGCGCAAAGGCAATAATGGATAGAACTGTCAAGCTAGAAAATCATCAATATGAAATTGGTCTTCCTTGGAAATACGATGACCCACTCCTCCCGTACAATAAGTCTATGGCTGAAAGGAGACTTGCTTATTTGAAGAAACGACTTGAGAGGGACCCCATACTTCACGCAAATTATAAGGCAACGATGAAGGAATACATCTCAAAAGGGCACGCTAAAGTAGTTCAAGTGGATAAACAAAATACACAGGACGAGTCACTCAAAAAACTGGTTTGGTATCTGCCTCATCACCCTGTGACACACCCGCAAAAACCAGAAAAGACAAGAATCGTTTTGACTGTGCTGCGAAGTTCCACAACGCATCCCTAAATAATCAGCTTCTTCAAGGACCAGATTATACCAATTCATTAGTTGGTGTATTGTTGCGGTTCAGGCAGGAAAAGATAGCGGTAATGGCAGATATTGAGAAGATGTTCCATCAGGTGAAGGTTAAGCCAGAAGACTGTAATGCACTGAGATTTCTATGGTGGCCAGAGGGAGATCTATCCAAAGAACCAGTAGAGCATCAAATGACTGTTCATTTATTCGAGCAACCTCTTCCCCAAGTTGTTGTTCTTACGCGTTAAAAAGAACAGCTTCAGATAATCGGGAAGAATTCAGCAAACAAGTTGTCGACACAGTTGATCGTAACTTTTATGTAGATGACTGTCTCAAGTCTTTACCAGAAAGGAAAGAAGCAATGAAGTTGGTAGACGAACTACCAGTTTTGCTGTCTCGCGGTGGATTCCATCTCACAAAGTGGGTGTCAAATGATCGAGAAGTCTTATCTCACGTACCTAACAAAGAAAGAGCGCCATGCGTCAGCCTTCAGTTGGAGAAGTTGCCGATGGAGAAAGCATTGGGCGTTCAGTGGAATACGGAAAGGGACACGTTGGGATTCCGGGAAGCAAATTGAAAGCAGAGTCAAGAAGAGGGATTCTATCGTTCATAGCTTCGGTCTACGATCCCTTGGTCTAGTCGCTCCTGTCGTTTTACCAGCCAAACGCATAATGCAAAACCTGTGTCGAGTAAATCACGGCTGGGACGAAGATCTCCCAATCGAGACAAGCGAAATATGGCATGATTGGCAAAACGAATTCCATTCCCTTGTGAAATTAGAAATACCTCGATGCTATAAACCGCACGAATTTAACAAGACAAGGAATGCGGAACTCCACTATTTTGCTGACGCATCGACTGAAGGATATGGGGTAGCAACGTACCTTCGGCTGGAAGATACCCAAGGAAGGATTCATTGTACCTTAGTTATGGGCAAATCAAGAGTTGCACCTCTTAAAACAGTCACGGTACCCAGATTGGAACTAACCGCTGCAACATTGGCCGTGAAGCTGAATAAACAAATTTGTGATGAGTTGGATCTGTCAATAAGTCAAATTGTTTTCTGGAGCGATTCAATGATAGTGCTGCGTTACATTAAGAGCGAGAACAAAAGGTTTCAAACCTTTGTAGCGAATCGATTACAAGTTATTCACGATGCTTCTACTCCGAATCAATGGAGACATGTGCCAACCAAGCTCAACCCAGCCGACCTTGCATCAAGAGGTATAAGTCTTGGTCGCGCAACAGGCCAAGACCAACGGGACTTGCAGTTTTGGTTGAACGGACCCGATTTCCTTTGGAAAGATCCCAAATTATGGCCAACGCAGCTAGATGACATACCAGACGTAGAAGACACAGATGTGGAAGTAAAGAAACCTAAAGCAAGAGTTGGTGCCGTCATCAACTCAAAGGATGCACCCTGATTCGCTAATACAACTTATCCATCGAACATCCGAATGGTACAGATTGCAGAAGTCGGTTGCATGGCTGCTAAGATTCAAACAGTACATCTTAAGCCGTTATCCAAACGGTCCAGGATTAGAAGTACAACGTGGTCCTCTAAAGGTAAAGAGATTGAATCGGCAACCCAGGAAATAATTAAACTTACCCAACGAAGTTCATCTATCAACGAGAAAACTATGAGAGAGAGATACGCTAAACTATGTCCAGTCATCGCCGGAGGAATTGTGAGAGTTGGTGGACGTTTGGATAAATCATCGCTGCCGGAAGAATCTAAACATCCCGCAATTCTTGATTCCAGTCATCACGTTACAAAGCTCATTGTCCGGTATTACCATGCAAAGGAAGGTCACGCTGGAACCAGTCAAACTCTAGCAGCAATACGGCAACGCTTCTGGATAATAAAGGGACCTAGCACTGTGAAGAGTATAGTCAATAATTGTGTTCCGTGTCGTCGCCGAAACCAGTCTCCAGGGAAGCAGATAATGGCCCCACTGCCAAAAGCTCGTGTGAAATCTGGTGAGTACCCGTTTTCATCTGTGGGAGTCGATTATTTTGGACCTCTTAAAGTCAAATATAAAAGAGGAACTGAAAAACGATATGGCTGTGTATTCACTTGCTTAGCCATAAGGGCCATACACATTGAGATTGCACATGACCTATCGACAGATTCCTTCATTCAAGCCGTATGTAGGTTCGTCAGTCGACGCGGACCGCCGAATGAGTTGTTCAGTGACAACGGGACGAATTTTAGAGGAGCGGAATCTGAAGTTAAGCAAATGTTGCAAAATTGGAATCAAGCTAGAATATTAGATCGTCTAAGAGAAAGGGAATTCAATGGCATTTCTCTGCTCCGAAAGCAAGCCATAGCGGGGGAGTTTGGGAGCGCATGATCAGAACAATCAGGAAGCAAATGCGTGTTATAATAGGAGACCGAGTTGTTGATGATGAAACACTCCTTACAGTAATGTGCGAAGTCGAGAAAATAGTGAATGATCGGCCTCTTGTACGGCAGTGTGATGACCCTCGAGATTTATCAACTCTTACACCAAACACTCTACTCCTGCGTTATCGAAACATAAGCACAAGTGCAAGTTCTTCACCTACGGCAAATAACCCCCGAGAAATATGGAAACGAGCGCAGAAGTTAGCTGACCAATTTTGGGCAAGGTGGTTAAAAGAATACCTGCCAAGTTTGCAAGAACGACAGAAATGGCTACACCCAAAACGAAACTTAATCAAAGGTGATGTCGTTTTGATGGTGATGGAAGATACTCCCAGAGGTGAATGGCCTCTAGCAATAGTTGAAGAAACATTTCCCGATAGCAACGGACATGTTCGGCAAGTAGAGATCCGCACGGCGAATCAAAGTCGTTATCGTCGAGATGTCAGGAAGTTGTGCCTATTGGAGACTGCGAAGTAAAGCGAGAAATTCTTCAGAAAACGAACGTTATTGTTGTTGTCACTTAACTGTTATTATTATTTTGTTTACGTTAAACGACGGTATCTATTGGTTTATGTTTGGTTATTCGACAAGATTGGTGGACACATTGTTTAAAACTTGCGCAAGTTAACATTGAAAACATTTGTATTGTAGCTCTCGATCCTTTTTGAATTATTGAACGACGTATAGTAGGTCGTTCGGGGCTGGTATGTAGGATCGAGATGCATAGAGCTTAGGTTATGCTAATTATTATGCTAATTATTATGAAAAACAAAAGGGACCCGTATAAAAGCATGGTTTTGGGGTCTTTTGAGATTGAGCACAATTCATGTATAGTGGTGTATTTTTTGTACATGGATGTTTATATTTAGTGGCCAAATTACGAGGTAACGATGATTACGGCTTTAGGCCTCCTTGTCGGTTATGTTAATATCTATACTCTGTCGTTTAGAACCGTACGTTTGACGCATTGCATTGAAATAAAGACTTATCTGTATACCGGTCGTCGTTTTAATAGTAGTTTATGTACGAGTATCTTGCTGGTCACATAAGCCTGGAATTGTTGAAGCTTATACCACACTTTAAAAATTTGACGTTAAAACTTAAACCATTCATTCATAAGACATTTAACAATATTCGTGTAGTGAACTTAAATCTACGAAATCGGATACAGTCAATTTTATATTCTTGCCCCCCCAAACATCCCTTTGCCCCTTAATTGCCCCCCCCCCCAGTTGATGAAGACCCTGTGCCCGCGGCTGCTTCTTGGTAACACAATTATATCTTTCTCCCTAAAAATGTTTATTTACGGTAATTTTACTGTCAGATGAATCATTCGAAGTCCAACTAACTATATTTCCACCAACAGGTTTCTTAAAAAGCTTGCGCACTGATTACTTAAGTGACGTTATCCTTACTGTAGGACGCATCAAAAGGTTTGTGGAAATGGGTGAGGAACTGAGGATATACATGAGTGAAATCGACGGATGTCTCAACAATATACATTGGATTGTTGACAATCTGCACAGATTATAAATATTTAGTAAAAGACATTAATTTATGCATGATTTATTGACTTTGATTGACGCGTAATTTGACGCGCAATATTTTGTTGGACAGTTAAGGATTATAGTCTATAAGTGAAGCTTACAGTTACCAGAGGTGGATCTAGGGGTAGGCACCTAAGGCAATTGCCTATGGTAAAAATCCTAAAGCAGTCTGATTTTAATTTTATTCGATCGAGATACTAGCGCGGCAAAATTGTAAATTAATCTATTAATAATTTGCAATTATCAGTGCAGTTAGTACTGATTTATTCATAGCTCTGTGGTTGTTAGGCAAAAGCACCATTTTGCTTAACTTCAGTGGGCAATCCAGCCATTTGACTGGTAGATATTATTTTGCCTAACCTTGATGAATTTTGCCTAACTTGACATCATCTGGAAGCTTTTTGATTGGGTGAGATTTACAAATTGTGTGTGTTCATTGGACTATATATTTTGCCTAACTTGAGTCAAATGAGCCAATCATGGCAGTTGTTAAGGATTAATTTATAGGCACATTAGGCATTATAGGTATTATAGGCAAGTGTGAATCGTATATACTTTTTGAAATTTACACATGATTACTGCTTTCACAAAATGCGCTTTCGTGTGCATAAACGGATTATTATAACCGCTGTTGTGTATTATTTAAGCCACCTCACGCTTTTAGCTGAATTTTGGTGAAGTATTAAGTACGTGGTAGAATCACGCTCTTGACGACCAGGACAAGGCTCTTAAAGTAAATATGTGTAAAGTTCATACTATCATTCATTCTAGTTATATATATATATATTTGTCTATAAATATTTGTTTATACATTGCCCATATAATTGGTGATGCAATTGCAGGCTAGGTAATAATTTTGTTATATGATGATATAGATAAATTTGTTGAAGTCATGAGGTTGCCATTCTATACTAAACAATAGCAGTTAGTTTGTAATATAGAATTACATGTTTGTAGAAGTAGATCGTCCAGGTTAATATAATCCTGAGAAGGACTGTTTTTGTTGTTGTTAACTGACGTTTCGACAACCCTAGCGGTAGTCATCTTTAGAGTCAAATGAGGAGTTACGTCAGGTTAGCCGTATTTGATATCTAGTTCTTACATCATTGTATTGTGTGCACAGGAAATGTGTGGGTGTCAATTGTGTATTGTCATTGTGGATTAGTGTGAAGTGTAATGTTTTTAGTTGATCGTTTGTTTTGTATTGTGAATAAGTCGTTTGTAAGGTGCCGGTAATTGCTGTGATCTGTTCAGGGGGTTTGTTCCAAGTTGGTATACCAACTTTCTAATGTAACATGTTTGTAAATGTCGATCGTCCAGGTTGGTAAAGTCCTGAGAAGGACTGTTTTTGTTGTTGTTGACTGACGTTTCGACAACCTTAGCGGTAGTCATCTTCAGAGTCAAATAAAAGGAGTAAACGTCAAGTTAGCCGTATTTGTTATCTGGTTCTTACGTCATTGTATCGTGTGTACAGGAATTGTGTATTGTCATTGTGAATTAGGGTGAAGTTAAATGATTTATTTTTAGTTGTGATGTGTGATTTAGGTGTGATGTTTTTAGTTGTAATGTGTGGGTGTCAATTGTGTATTGTCATTGTGAATTAGTGTGAAGTGTAATGTTTTTAGCTGATCGTTTTTTGTATTGTGAATAAGTCATTTGTAAGGTGCCGGTAATTGCTGTGATCTGTTCAGGGGGGTTTGTTCCAAGTTGGTATACCAACTTTCTAATGTAAGCCGTATATTTTTTATAAAGTTCATTCACTACTTTTTCCGTACAAAAGTATTTTTATTTAGGAATAAATAGCCAGGCCGCGATACTGCCTACTGTTACTTTAAATAAGTGCTTACATTCATTTGAGAACACTCAAAACTTACTTGGCAATGATGTTGAAACTTTTTACCGCAAGTGGTGGGGAATTATAATCGGCGAACTAAAAGTGATAAGCATATGTGCCAGCCGCGAAATATGATAGTATGATTTGCAGACAACATGTGGATATACGATTTTTAAATACGCATGTTTTTCTTTGATTCATGAAAGCAGGTAAAAAAAATGAAGGAAAAAAGTTCAAAACTTTTGACGAAGCAAGTGTTCCTTTAAAGAGAAATATATCTTTCTTTTAGGTAGTTAGGAGCGTGGTTAGAAGAAAGCAATGGAGAAAAACGCCCCTCTCCCCTTTCCATGCTATTGTCTAAACGCTTTCAAAGTGCATTTTCTTTTTGTACGAATCACTAACCAAAGTAAACTAATACAAACAAAAAACATATGAATTTTTTCTGTTAATGCAATACATAACAACAAAGTAGGTTTTACGACACTTTGCTTTGATGTCTTTCGATTAAATACAACATAATAAAAGTTCTTAAAAAAATATGTTATTTACAACTCTGATAAACTTTTAAGAACATGAAGCAACTGAAATTTATAACAAATCATACGTCATGTTTTTTGTCTTATAAACTTTCTTGAATGCGCTAGCTATAAGTTTCCAAACAATAGTTCGCAAGAGGTGTTTCTACATGACACAACTTCTTAACAAAACCTTAAAAAAGCAACTCATCAAATCAAATGAAGTACAAGACAGGGTATTCAAGAAATAAGCACGAAACAAAAACAATATCTTGAAATTCAAAGCGTTCTAAGATAGTTGAATATACGAAAGATGCATGGGTCAGTAAAAATGTAATAAATAGCAAGATCGCTGCTGTTTTGAGACACCCTGTAATATGACTTCATGAAAAATGTCAACAGAACCGTAAAAGTGAGAAAAGTTTCAAATTGTCACACGGTTTGACAATTATCCTATTCTAATTTTTGCTATAGCAAAAATAAAATTTGTCCTAGTCTGTATGACTAGGACAACAATCATAATCTAAACATTCTAACCGTAATTTATTTCTTATAATATAAATAACTGTATATCACACACAACTTTAAAAATATCTATATCAGCTCTATCACAACAAGGGCGTCGGTCATAACGTTTCTATAACTAGGAAAGCCAAATCTCTGAAGGTACCACCATGAGGCACTTTTCTTTCAATGCGAATGACTAAAAGCCTTACTCGTAAACTTGTACACGAGGCGAGTTGGCGGCTTTGCCATGAATCCTTTTGAAATGTATGTTCTCAAAGAACGAGCAAAGTTTTCGTATTTCATGTTTGGCTTGTCACGACGCCTGCCCCACTGAGAGGCAACCGCTGATGAGTTGACAAACTTGAAAACTCCATCTTTACGATCAATCCACACAATAATGTTCGAGTAGAGGTCAGGTTTGTCTAGTAACTCCAATAAAAAATGGCACAAACGCGGTTTTTTAGAACGACCCCGGGCTGCTTTTGTCCCATTTTTGTGTTTTTTCGTTTCCGCTGAGTTTGCAGATTTTGAATATTTACAATGT